CCCCCCATCAGCAACATCCCCATGTAGCTAACATGGCCATTACCAGCAGCAGTAACATCACCACATAGCTAACATGGCCATCACCAGCAGCAACATCACCACGTAGCTAACACGGCCATCACCAGCAGCAGCAGCTTGTCCATCACTGTGAACACTACCAGCATCACTAACATCACCATTGTCACTCCTCCTGTGATTCACAACTAGGGACATTTTGCTCCTCGTGGGACTTTTAAAGTACCTGCAGACGTTTTTGGTTATTCTTCCCTCCCCCCCTTTTTTTTTCTTTTTTAAAAATTGAATATGTAGCACATATACACTGTGGAGTACTACTCAGCCATAAAAAGCAATGGGACCCGAGCCAGCAAGTGACATAGTGGTTAAGGCTCTGGACTCCCACATGGCTGACCATGGTTTGAGTTCCAGACCTGGCGTGTCACACACACCCAGCGTGATCTTGATACTCACACCAGGCGTGAGTGCATGCGTGCCCCAAATCCTGAGTGGAAAATCGAGGAGAAGGGATGGTGGTGTGGCCATCCTCCCTGGGGGGTGATTTCTCATTTTCTTTCTCTATGTCTCTGTGTGTGTCTCCACTGAGTGCACACGCCTTATAGCAAAAATCTCGCTCTAGGAAAAAACAAAAACAATGAGACCCTAGCAACTGATAGAAAGTGGTTGAATAGGGAAGATTTTTGTTCATCCTCACCAGGGTAGTGACCTATCACCGCTGACATCCAGTGGGTGGGGCCAGGGATGCTCCTCAACAGCCTATGATGCACAGAACCGCCTTCTGGGCCCCTCCACCAAAAAGAAAAAATCACCCGGTCCCAAATGTTGACAGCGCTGAGGAGTGCTGGTCTATTTTGTCAAGAACTGCTAATAATTTACCCTTCGAGATGCATCTCTGACCCCCTCATCCCTCAGGGCTGTGTCACTCTCTGTATCCTCAGTGGGGCCCAGGAAGATGTGAGACAAGTGACCCGAGGGTCCCCCACAGCTAGTGGCAGAGCTGGAGTCTGACCCAGGCCTTCCTCGTCCCACCACCCATCTCCTCTCCTTGCACAGGTGACCTCTGACCCCTTCTCCAATGTCACTCGGTCATGGTGGCTACGATGTACCACGTGTGCGTGCTTAGAGGTGTCTGCCTCTACACCTTTCTCCCCCACCAGCATATGGTCCTGGAAGCTCTCCGTCTGCCTGATGCCCCCGACAGCCCAGTCTCTGCTCTGTCTCCCCCCGGGTTGACCTTCCCCTCTGAGGGGAGGGCTGGTTCTCGAGTCCCAGCCCCCAGCCATACCCACCCTTGTCCCAGAGCACCAGGTACCTGGTGGAGTAGTGGCTGATGAGGATATGGACCAGGACCCCACAGAGGTACACGCTTCCCAGGACTGTCATCACGATGAGGAACACCGCTAAGGTCCCCGAGACGTGGAAACCGCTGTGGACAACAGGCGTGGTGGTCCCTGGAGAGAGAGGACGGTCAGGGCCGCCGTGCACGCCCCCTCACTCACCCACATCCGTGCACCCATGTCATGCACAGCCGTGTGCCGAGCACCGAGGATTCAGGAATCGGCAGGACAGACTGCCCGCCTCACAGTGACGTTCCAGCTGGGAAGGGGCCGTCTATGATGAAGCAGAGATATCTAACATGTCACAGGGTCAGCAAGTCCTCGGACCGGGCCGAGTGACTGTGGTGGGGTGGTGGCCACGCAGCCGGCGACTCGCTGCAGGTATTCACCAGGCACCGACGGCGAGCCAGGCGCGGTGCCAGCACTGGGACCAGGGTGAACAGGAAGTACCCCGCTCTCCGCCTTCCTGAAGCTCACGGCCTGGTGCAGTAGGGAGGCGAGAATCCGAGGGTCACATATGCACACTGTGCTTGGCACACAGTAGGTCCTCAGTAAACAGCGCGGTGTGGCTGAACTCGCCTCAGCCCACGTCCCGGGTCTGTGTGCGGCTCGCTCCGGGACAGTCAGGCTCACGGACTCTTATGTACTTTTTTCTTTTTCTTTTTTTAAATCGTGCACATTGAGAAAGACAGAGAAGGAGATGGACCGGATGCCGCAATCCTCCAGCCTTCATTGGTTTTGCCACAGGACGGGGGCCACCACGCCTGGCCTATGTACTTTCTTCTATGAGGGGAAGAGACAGAGAGAGAGAGCGGAGAGAGGGACCACCCCCGGCAGGATCTCCACGCTGTGCTCCAGCCCCAGCCTTGGCCACCCCGCATCATGGGCATGCATGTACCTGGCAATGTTTTTTAAGAGAGATTTTCGCTATAGGCCACTTGTATTTGCCTGAGAGACAGAGAGATAGAAAGCGAGAAATCACCCCCCACACACCCAGGGAGCTGGCCGTGCTGCAATCCCTTCTGCTCCACTCCCCTCGCAGGATTTTGGACACGCACACACATGTGCTCAGTGTGAGTTTCAAGCCGTGGGTCTGGGATTCAAACTGCCGTCGGGAATGTGGGAGTCCAGTGATGTAACCATCACCCCAGCTGCTGGTCCCTGTGCCTAGCGTTTTCTGGAATATTTGGGTCGCGAACCGAAACCCTCTGTGGTGGGCCTCACAGAGCCTCGCGCTGCAGCGCTGCAGCTGGCCTGCCCCGCGTGCCCTTTCCCCAGCTCCGCCTGGCTCGTTCTCGCAGCAGTCTGTCTCGTGGGGACTCCCAACACCACAGGTGGGGAAAACGAGTCTCAGATGGTGCAGCTGCCTCAGCCTGCTCTGTGTGGATGGGGATGGCAGGCCTGGGATTTGAACCCAGGTCACTGGGCTCCAGAGGCCTCGTCTCACGCTCCTGGTCACCTCCCTCTGTCTCTCTGAGGTAGATCACACGTGCATTTGCTGAAGACGGGCCTTCCCGTTACGGACTCACTCCACAGCCAAGGCCCGACTCCAGTCCACAACCACAGCAGGTCTCTGCCCACCCCAGCTTGGCCCCCACACCTGTCCACTTTCTGACCCCGGAAGGTCGGAGCCAGGGGGACAGCCAGACGCACAGGCTGCAGGGTCAGACTGCCCGGGTTGGTCCTGCCTCTTTTGTAGGTTAGAACCAGAGCCCTGAATAAAGAATTTCTCAGACTCCTGGGGGCTCAGTGTTCTCACCTGTGAGCTGAAGGCCATGCTAATAAGTCACTTACCCCTGGGGGAGGGTGGGCACCCAGCTTAGCTGGTAGCCAGCCAGAACCCGGTAGGCGCTCAGGCAATGACCGCTAATCAGATCCCCGGGCCTCACCCAGCTCCCGCCCGAGATCTCTGAGCAGTGGTGGAGGGGGCAGCTTTGGATCTAGGCCTCAGAGGCCGGCAGAGGCAGGGAGCCGGGGCTGCAAGGCGGAGGCGGCGTTCCTGATGGCGCGCGCGCCGCCGGGGCCAAGGCAGGAGCCCGAGGCCGGCGTGGGGAGCGGCTGCACTTACGGGGAGGCTGGATCCTGACGTCCCTGTACATGACCAGCTGGGTCTCGCGGTTCTCCACGATGCATCGGTAGCTGCCCATCTGCTCCCAGGCCAGCCTCGGCAGGGTGACTGTATCGGCTGAGCCCAGGAGGGAGCCGTTGTGGAGCCAGCGGTACGCGGGCGGCGGGCGGGAGTGGGCGCTGCACGTGAGCTCCACCTGGGAGCCGGGCTGAGCGGTCAGGGCGCCCATGAAGATGGAGGGCGTGCCCCACAGAGTCACGTAGTCAGGCCCATCTGCGGAGACGTGGGAAGTCAGGGTGCGTTTCTGTCTTGTTCCCTCAGTGCACACGAAGATTCAGCCAGGAGATGCCCCCCTCTGACCTAGGCTGACCCCTGACTGCAGTAATTAGAGCACCCCCCACCATCAGGTTCCCAGTAAGGGCCAGCCCCATGGTAGCTTTTTATATCACAATAAAATAGGCACAGGGCATGGCCTAGTGGTCAGGGGAGCCAACTGCACATGGGCAAGCACGCGGTTCTAATCCTGTCCCTGTCAGCTTGAAAAACATGCTGCATGCCCATAATCCCCACAAAACAGAGGTCGCAGGTGGGACTGCAGTGTCACCACCCCCCCTCCCCCACGGGGGTGCTTTCTCCCTCTCCCTCTGTCTCTCAGCTTCTCTCCGGAAGGCGCACGAGCCCTTTGGCGACTGGAAAAAGCAGCTGTTTAAGGGAGTGTAAGGGGGTCAGTCTGAGTAACGGAATGTGAAGCCGATTTAACTACATTCACAATAACAGAATCAGAGAACAATGAGCAGATTTTGAATGCTCAGGGAGAAGCTAGGTCCGGAGCCGTCGCAGATGGCATAGAAGTGGAAGAAACAGCTGGTCGCTAGCAGGCTCCTCCGGAGGCAGAAGCCAGACCTCGACGGTTCACACTGACCGTTGCTTTTGCTTTTTCGGTTTTTGTCATAGGATGCGTGCGCTCACCGAGGGAGACAGCGATAAGGAAAGTGAGAAGTCACCCCCTTTCCCGGGGCACGGCCATGCCACAGTCCTGTCTCTTCCATTCTTCTCTCTGGACTCGGTATGCACACACACCTGGCGTGAGTTTCAAGCTGCTAGGTCCAGGACTCAAACCATGGTTGGCCGCGTGGGAGTCAGTGCCTTAAATACCACGCTGACCATTTCTAACCTGAGAAGTAAGGATTGAGGTCTTCGCTTTAAAATTTGTGCTTATTTATGTCTCCAGCGAGAACGGCACCCCAGTAGGGTCTTCACAGTTGTCCTTTTCAACCTCAGCCAGACTCCCTGGGACACGAACTGGGACCCTCCCACATGAGTCCAGCTGCATCCCCACCGCAGTACCTCTCGGCCGAAGGAGCTCCATTTTTAAACCGCGCACACTATGGGCCTGAGTAGTAAGGACCGTTCTGAAGTCCAAAAGCTTAAGAGCCAGAGCTGGGATTTGGACCCAGATCAAGCTGGCCTCAGGTGGCCCATGGTATCTCTCTCTCCAGTTCTGCGTGCCTTACCGTTAAGTCCCTGGAAGGCTGTAAGCCCACCCGTGGCTTCACTCCCGTGACCCCAGACCACTCACAGGACACGTTCAGAGAGATCAGTTCGCTCCTCTTGGTAATCCCTAGAAAATGCTCTGTTTCACAGTGAAGTGTCCTGTCGTAGCGGCTGACTCTGTGGATGACAAGGGTCTTGCCGTCTGGGGAAATCGTCATCCGGTTGCTGCTGGATGTCGGTATGGAGTTCACATACCACTTGACAATGGTGGCGTTGGTGTGGCAGACGGCGACCACGGAGTCCATGTCCTCCACCAGGTAGCTGGCGTTGGCCGAGATGCCTGGGTTTTTCAGCTCTGGGAGAAGCGAGGGGGGAGATGAGCATGAGCTCTGCTCGGCTAAAAGCTCCTCTCCAAGGGGGCTTTGGATGCTCTGGAGGGAGGTCAAGAGCTGTAGGATGAGGTAGCCCAGGGGCTGGGAAGGGAAGGGAAGTGGGGTGTGAGACGAGGTCACCAAGGCGTGACGGCACTGGCTGCAGTACTGGAGAGCTCCTGGCATAGCCACGTGCTCCAGGGGTTGTTTCTTTTTTTCTTTTTTTTTGAAGCGATTTTTGCTATAGGACATGTACGCTCACCAGAAAGACAAAGACAGAGAGACAGAAAGCGAGAAATCACCCCTAGGGGAGATGGCCATGCCACAATCTCGTCTCCTCCATTCTCCTCTCAAGATCTTGGGCACACACGCACGTGCACCCCGCGTAAGTTTAAGCCACCGGGTCTGGGACTCGAACCGTGGTCAAATACATGGGAGTCCAATGACACAGCCATTACACCAACTGCTGGTCCCAATCCAATGGTTGTTTCAAACCCCTTAACAAGGAGCCTGCATCGGAGAAAGGCAGTATTTAGACTATGCATAATTGCTCCCATTTTTGAGTTCCATTCACTTTCTAGATATTTCCTCCACCTTTACGATAAACCACAATGAACCTCCATTCTATAGATAAGGAAACTGAGGGCCACAGAGAGATGACTGGCCCAGGGCCATGCAGCACACACACAGTCAGCAGCAAATACGGGACCCTTGTCTTCAGGATCCACGCTCTCCTCCTGAATCTCGTGGAGCCCCTGGAACTTCTGATGGTAGCAGACACAATTCCAAGATGGCCCCAGTCTCCATCCCCTGGTGATACACCCTGTGTAATCACCTCCTCTCATGACCTGCTTTTTTTTTTTTTTTTTTTTTTTAAGAATTATTTATTTAGGGACCAGCAGATGGCATAATGGTTACATCGCTGGACTCCCACATGGTCAACTGCAGCTCAAGTCCCAAACCCGGCAGCTTAAAATTCGTGCCAGGCATGTGTGTGTGTGTGTGTGTGTGTGTGTGTGTGTGTGTGTGTGTTTGTGCCCAAAATCCCAAGAGGAGAATGGAGGAGAAGGGATTGTGACGTGGCCATCCCTTCTTGGGGGTGATTTCTTGCTTTCTGTCTCTCTAGCAAGTACATGCACTCTATAGCAAAATCTCTCTCTCTGGGACCAGCAGTTAGCGTGGCTATGTCGCTGAACTCCCATGTAATTGACTGCAGTTCGAGTCCTGGACCTGATGGCTTATACCTCATACCAGGTGCATGTGCGTGCGTGCCCAAGATCCCGAGAGGAGAATGGAGGAGAAAGGATTTATTTAATTTTATTTATTATTATTATTTTTTAATTTGGCCAGAGAGAAAAAGAAAGGGAGAGTGAGAAAGCAAGCTGCCAGGTCCAGAATTTTTTTTTTTTTTTGAGAGGTTTTCGCTATAGGGTGCTTGCGCTCGCCAGACAGAGAGAAACATAGAGACAGAAAGCGAGAAATCACCCCCCTGGGGGGATGGTCACGCCGCAATCCCTTCTCCTCCATTCTCCTCTCGGGATCTTGGGCACGCACGCACATACGCCTTGAGTGAGTTTTAAGCCACCGGGTCCAGGACTCAAACCGCGGTCGACTACGTGGGAGTCCAGCAACATAGCCATTACGCTAACTGCTGGTCCCCAGAATTTTAACCACAATCAACCATGTGGAAGTTCAGCGTACTAACCACCATGCCATCTGCTGGATCCCCCATGACCTGCTTTTAGCCCATAAAATATGGCAAAAGTGAATGGATGTCCCTCTCTTCATTACCTTCAGCAATTTAAGACTTCACCTTAGCAGATTACAGAGATATTTCAGCTGGCCTTGAAGAAAAAATGGGCCATGATATGAGATGCTGTGGACAGACCCACGTGGCAGAACTACAGTGGTTTTAGGACCCAAGGCCTCTATCCAACAACCAGTGAGCAGCTGTGGTTCTCAGTCACATGGCCACGAAGAAATGAACTTGGCCACCAACCGGAATGAGCCTGGAAGTAGGTTCTTCCGCAGCTAGGCCCCCAGATGAGAACACAGCTCCGGGCTCACGAGCCTCACAGCAGCGCAGCTAACTCGGCTGCACCTCGGACCCACTGCCGCCGGGATGATAAATGACTGTGGTTCTAAGCTGCTTAGTTTGTGCCTGTTTTCATGCAGCTGCAGTAGAGAACTAATACACTGTGCCAAAACGAAGCTCGAGCTCTTTACGGTAATACGTGACACATCTCTGGGAGTGAAGCTAGATCAGCACTTTCTAAGACTCTCAGTGTCATGTGGAAGTGGGTAAGACATGTGGACAATGCTATCTCCTGAAATCTGACTCCCCGGGCTAGCGGGTGGCGTGGTGGTTAAGGCAGCTGGATCCCACACAGCTGACTGGGAAGTTTGAATCCAGGACCTGGGAGCTTGAAATCCACACCAGGTTGGGACAAACCGAGGGCACAAGGGTTACGTTGCTGGACTCCCATGTGGTCGACCACAGTTTGAATTCTAGACCCAGTAGCTTAAAACTCACACCAGGCGCATATGCCTGTGTGCCCAGGATCCTGCGAGGAGAATGGAGAAGGGATTTCACCATGGCCATCCTCCCAGGGAGTGATTTCTCGCTTTCTGTCTCTGTCTCTCTCTGTCTCTCCAGCAAGCGCACACACCCTATAGCAAAACTGTCAAAAAGAAAAAGATGCTAGGCTGACGTATGTACATGCCCCAATCCCAAGATGGAGTGAGATGGAGGAGAAGGGATGGCAGCGTGCCCATTCCCCACGAGGGGTGCTTTGTCACTTTCTCTCTCTCTTTGTCTCTCTCTGGCAAATGCATGGATGCCCTAGGAAATTTTTTTAAATGAACCAATCTTGTTTTATTACTCTCTCCAACATAATTTGTCTTTTTCCTTTTTTTTTTTTTTTTTTTTTTTTTTTTTTTACCATAAGGCACATGTGCTCACTAAAGAAAGACAAAGTGAGAAATCACCTCCAGGGGTCACCCCCCAGGGGGATGGCCACGCTACAATCCCTTCTCCTCCATTCTCCTCACGGAATCTTGGGCACGCATACACACGCGCCCAGCATGAGTTTAAGCCACCGGGTCCGGGACTCAAACCGTGACCAACTACATGGGAGTCCAGTGACATAGCTATTATGCCTACTGCTGGTCCCTCAGAGTTTTTAAAGCAAATCCCAGAGATTAAGAATTCTACTTATAGTAGTTTAGCATCTCTGATAAAGAATTTTTAAAAATATAATCACCATAATATTACACACAGTGAAATTTACCATACTTCTCTTTGAATTCTAATGGCTAGGACTGGCAAATTTTATTAAATATTTACATACATGGAAGAGCTTAATTTGACTTCACATGTTTAATGCACAGAACTTTTTCTTACTGTGATCTACTTTGTGCTAAATTGATTAAGGCTTACAGGTTTGGGTTAAGTAAAACAAGTCTCAATAACCTCTTGAACTTCAAGCTCAAAACAGATCTGGGGACCAGGAGATGACATGATGGCTGTGTTACTGGACTCCCACATGGCCAACCACAGTTCAAGTCCCAGACCCAGCAGCTTGAAGCTCACGCTGGGTGCCTGTGCACGTGTGCTCAAAATCCTGAGAGGGAATGGAGGAGAGGGCATTGCGGCATGGCCATGCCCCCTGGGGGTGATTTCTTGCTTTCCATCTCTCTGTCTCTCTGGTGAGCGCATGTGCCCTATAGCATAAAACTCTTAAAAAACAAAACAAAATTAAAAACCAAAACCAAAACCAAAACAAAACAAATTCTATGTTTGTGGTAGTATTTTTCCAGTGGCAAAATTAAAAAAAAAAAAAATCTGACTTCTGGGGCCAGCAGGTGGCCTGGTGGTTAAGGCACTGGACTCCCACATAGTCAACCATGGTTCAAGTCCTGGACCTGGAGGCTTGCTTCCTCACTTTCCCTTTCTCTCCTTCTCTGGTGAATTAAATAAATAAATAAATAAATAAATAAATATTTTTTAAAAATCTGACTCCTAAAGGCTTCAGGTCCAACTCTCCTTGGGGGTCGGGAACTGGGGCAACCTGCCAATCACCTATAATCTGGAGCCAGCCGGTGGCTGTCTGGGTCTCGTTGCCGAGGTCCACCTGGACAGTGTAGTTCCCCGTGTCATTCAGTGCAGATGGCCTGATCACCAGGTCGCCGTTGCGGGTCACGCCCTCTCGGCCGCTGTACATGGGCCCAGGCAGCCGGGAACTGGGAGGTCTGTAGCTGAAAATCATGTTGGCCGCGTTGCCTTCTTCACCCCGGTGCCAGCTGTACTCCAGAACATTCTCAGAGACGTTCTCAAGGATCAGTATGCTCCGATATCCCACGGCCCCTACGAGGGTGTCGGGGCTGATGAAGATGTGGCCAGAGGCCTGGAACATCCTGCAGGTCAGCAGATTGGCTGAGGAGAACACAAAGCAAAGGAGGAGGTGGGAGAGAGAGAGAGAGAGAGAGAGGGAGAAGTCTGCAACATCCGGGGAGCGGTTCCCGAAATGCCGGTGCAGAAGATGAGCGTTTCCAACCCCTGGATGATGCTCCAGCCCGCCCCCTCTTCTCCTCCGCTGCGGCCCTGCCTCAGTCCGTTCCCTCCTTGTCCTCTCCCAGCCTACCCTCCTCCATGGTCACTCAACCTCCAATCCACAAAGCTCAAGTCTGGCTCTGCTCTCCTCTGCCCAAGTACCTTCTATGGCTCCCCAGCGCCCTCACAATAACGTTCAAACCCTTGGCGAGGCTCAGAAGTCTCTCAGCAAGACTGACCAGGTTCCTTTTGGAGCACGCCTTCTCCACCCCGGGCACTCTCTCGTTCCTTCCTTCCCGTAGTTCCCTTCCAGCAGACACGGCTTCCACACTCAGTGCCCCGTCACGCCCAGCTGTCCCCACTCAGGTTTTGCACATGCTGTTCCCCATTCACGACACACTGGTCCCTGCGCCCCTCCCCACACTGCCTCCTTGCTGACTGCCTTCGGCTCATTCCTCAGTCCTCAGCTCTGATGTCTCCTCATCCTGGCCGGACCAGGAGGCCTCCTGGACTCCCCTCGTCCCAGCCCTGACAATCCCAGCTGATCGGAGTTGATGTGTCCTCTGGGTGGCTGGACCGGGAGCTCCAGGAAGGTGGGGCTGGGCTGTCTGGGTCACCACTGCATCCCCTTGCCTGAGCACAGGGTGGACACGAGGCAAGTGCTCAGCAGTGACAGGGAGGGTACATGCTCTCCTGAGACTGTCCGCACAGCTTTGACTTTTCATTTAAATTCACGGGGGTGGGTGCGAATGGGGTGGGGCCCGTCAGCGCCCAGGCCTGCAGGTGGCCACTGCCGTGGCTATGTGAGAGGCCAAGGCAGCTGAGATCCCAGCTCCAAGCCTCGGGGTGGACGTCGGGCACACGGGAGGACAGGGCGGGTGTCTGTTGTGCAGGTCAGGGGACCCGGGCCCTGGGGGGAGCACAGGCTGAGAGGTGGGGGGAGGCGCCCTCAGGGAGGTGAGGGTGGTGGTCTGACCTCGTCACTCATGGGGTGAGCGAAATGAACGCCATGTGTGTGAGTGCATGCGCAGGTCTGTGTGTCGGGGAGGTGTGGGCAGGCACGGGAGGTCACGGAAGTCCTGGGGATGGCTGGCCTGTGACCTGCTGGCTATAGGAGCCGGACCCCACATGGCTGACCACAGCTCAGCTTGGAAAGCACCCTGGGTGTGCATGGAGAAGGGAGCCTCAGGGGACTACACCCACGGGGGCGCTTTCTCCCTCTGTCTCTCTGCCTCTCTGGGGAGCTCACATCCTCTCTGGCAAATAAAAATAATCATAAGAAAAGCTCTGGTGAGGTGCTGCCCCTCGCTGCTGCCCAGCCAAGGCGGCGGTGTTCAGCCACCCCGGCCCGTTTCTAGCCCTTTCTCCCCTCCCTCCCCAGCACTTCCCTGGGCCCTGGGTAGCGAGCTCGGGTTCGGGCCTCTCTTACCCACGAGGACCAGGAGGCCCTGCCACAGGCCGCCTCTGGGTCTGGGAAGGTCCATGAGCTGCCGGGTCCCCCAGGACGGGGCCTTTCCTCTTGCCGGCGGGAGACCCGCAGTCTCGTCTGCACTGTCGCTGAACTGCGCCTGGTCGTGTCCACGCTGGCCTCTCCTGTCCCGTCCTGTCCTATCATCGTCCACCGCCCGCCCTCTCCGGGTGGACTCTGGCCCAGGAGAGGGCCCTGGAGCCGGCCTTATCTCCATGGCTTTATGACGCCTTTAGTTTATGACGTCTTTATCTTATATCGATTCACGTTATTTTGTCGTGAGTAAGTAGAACACACACCGCCTCACTGTTGGGAACCAGGTGCAGGAAAGCTCGCCCAGGGCAGGATGCACCTCGCCGCCCCGTGTCTGGTGCTCCTCCTCCTTAGGGTGGCTCGTCCCACGGCTGCTCCTGTGCTCCAGGCCGTCTGGAACCGCCAGGGTCGCCAGCTTCAGGCCCGTCCTAAGATCCACCATGAGGAATAATGCCAGGGTTAGGAGTCCACGGTGTGTTGGAGGTGGAGCTGCACACAGACGCAGTGTTGGGTCTGCGCACAGAGACCAGAGAGAAGCAGAGACAGAGAGGCTGGGAGAGAGATGGGGAGATGTGAGCTAAATGCAATAGAAGAGAAGCTGGAGAGAGAGCAACTCAAAGTTTTTCTTTCCAACTGTGCTTGTGTTTGTTTTTCATTTTATAATAGAAAATGCTATTTTCAAATTTCCAAGGGAGTTCATTACCAAAGAAAATTTGAAAGCCCTTGGAAAAAGAAAAAATATACATATTATTTAAAACCATGACTACGTATTTATAAATATTTAAATATCACATAACAAAAACACTTGTATATTTTTACACATATAACTATATAAAAATAAATATTATATAAAACACAATTATTTATTGTATTGAATAACTTTTATTTTTTGAGAGGTTTTTTGGTATGGGGCGTGTGCGTTTACCAGAAAGACAGAGAGACAGAGAGACAGAAAGTGAGAAATCACCCCCAGGGGGGATGGCCATGCTGCAATCCCTTCTCCTCCATTCTCGTCTCGGGATCTTGGCCACGCACGCACACGCGCCCGGCGTGAGTTTAAGCCACCAGGTCCGGGGCTCGAACCACGGTCAACTACATGGGAGACCAGCGACATAGCCATTATGCTAACTGCTGGTCCCTATAACTTTTTTTTTAGAGAGATTTTTGCTATAGGGTACATGCGCTCACCAGACACACAGAGAGAGGCAGAGAGAGAAAAAGGGAGAAATCACCCCCCAGGGGTGTGGCCATGCCACGCAATCCCTTCTCCCCATTCTCCTCTCAGCATTGTGTGCATGCACACACTCTCAGCTGGCCTGAGTTTCAAGCCACGGGGTTCAGGGACTTGAACAATGGTTGGCCATGTGGGAGTCCAGCACCTTAACCACTATGCCACTTGCTGGCCCCATGAGTACCATTTTTAAGAAACTGCCTGTGATCATTTCACCACCCAGAAATGCATCAGGGTTTTTTTTTCGTTTGCTAGTGTATAACGCATATGCACTCACTAGAGAGAGAAAGAGAGAGAGAGGGGAAGTGAGAAATAACCCTTCATGGGGGATGGTCGCACCCAAATCCCTTCTCCACTCTCCTCTTGCACTTTTGGTCATACGCGCACACATGCCTGGCATGTTTTTCGAGATCAGAGACTTGAACTGTGGAGTCCGCCATGTGGGATCCAGCTTCCTTAATCACCACACCACTGGCTGGCCCATGGCTTCATTCTATGTATCTTTTCCTTTTCGATATATCATATGTACTCATGCACATACTTACATTTTTATCAAAGTGGAATCATGCTATTAAATATCTTTATTTATTAAGGCTCTAAAGCATCAAACCCAAGATGAGTCATAAGAAGGTGAATACACGCCTTTAAGTATCTAGTTGTTTATAAAATATCTCTGAAGTCATCTATTTCCTAAAAATCTCATATAAATATTTTCAACCTACTGTAAAATACATCTCTATTTGTTTTATTAGGAAAACCATGTATTAATTACTGCTAGTTATTTAATTAGTACTCCCCAGTATTTGGGTGTAAATGGCACCCCTGAAAAAAAATGTGCGAAGTGGATCTTCTGACTTTAGCCACCTGGGAATTACTCCCCACTTTCCTGCCTCTGAGTCCTGGACCTCACCAGGAAATGTGATTTTGCATCATCACTGGTGATTGTTCATGGCTGATTAATATTCTACAGACTAGAATATGGGTTGATTTATTTAACCAATTCCTTATTTGGAAGCATTTGGGTCCTTTAGATTAAAAAAAAACCCTACTTTTAGAGCAATTTTAGGATTACAATAAACTTGAGCATAAAGTGCAGACATTTTTTTGTATTCCTTTTGGCCCCCCCACATCCTTCATCAACATCAACTATCAGGGTGGTACATTTGCTGCAGTTGAGAAACACTGCCACACTGCTAGCACCTACTCTGTAGTTTATGTTAGGATACACTCTTTTGCACACAACAGCATGAGCAGCTTTTGAGTATTCCCATTCATAGATACGCAATGGGTCTCAGAAGTGGACTTGTGTATTAACAATCTTGACTTTCCCCCAGAGAGATACGGCATTTGTCTTCACTTACTGGGAGGGGATCTCTGGGCCCTTAGAATATCCTGCTTGATAAGAGCATCGTTGCCTACCCAGAGCCTTGGACTAAACCAGAGAGTCTAACAATGTGATTAGCAGTGGGAGCTTTGAGCCAGGTAGTAGCAGCTCTGCCTCTGCAGGGGCAGGAGACTAAGGTCAGGCCTGTGGACAGTCAGCCATAGCTATGTGACAAAGCCCCAACAATTACCCTGGATATCAAGGCTCGAGTGAGCTTCTCTGGCTGGTGATACTCTATGCGTATTGTCATCAATACAGGAGGAGTCCTTTGCAGTATCTGCACCCATGGAGATGACAGCTTTTGGTGAGTTCTGCAAGTCCTTCTGGCAAATTGCCCAGACTGAAGGTGGTCTTGAGGACTCTTGAATTACAACTGGTGTCGGAAGTGAGAGTTCTTCCCAACTCTTCAAAGCTTCTGGGTCAAAGGCTATGCTAGGCATTGGAGGAGAGAACATGGCTGAGAAGAGGATTTCCTAACCCCTTGCCCAGGTTTAAATCCAAATGCCACCACGTACCTGCTATACAATCTCCCTCCCCTAAACCTGACTTTCTTTGCCTGTAAAATGGGGCCATTAACAGGGCTGTTACAGAATTTAATCCTGGAAATGACCGAAATGATGCTTCGTACATAGGCAGATTTGGTAAACTTTAATTCTACTGATTTCTGTTTTGTGCTCAGCAGTGCACATGCTGTCTGGCGATTACAAAAAGAAAGATCAGATATATATTTCACAATATCACACACTTGTGAATGGGTCGGCAAGGAGCACCCGGATGTCCATGCTGGGGTACGAGCTGGTTTGTTATGTGAGTCTCAGAACCCTGAGGATGGCAACCCCACACAGAGAAGTCTGTTTGTGGTCATGTTGGTTTCACACATCCACGCTCAGTTCAGTCAAGTGACAAATCTCAAAACCCAGTTGTTAAAAACCTCAAAGTTCAATGTAGAGATCTTGATATTACTCATAGACCTAATGAAATTTAGTCATCACAGGTGGATCAAATGACCATCAATAACAAAATTCCTCTTACAAAAGTGACATTGGCAAACATAGTTAATTAAACTTTTTATAAGATACATTCATGCTTTAAAATTTTATTTATTATAGCTATTATTTTGTTTGATATAGTGCACATGCATTCACCAGAGAGAGGCAGACAGGGAGAGAAAGAGAGAGAAGGAAAGTGAGAAGGAAGACACCAGGTCCAGGACTCAAATTGTGGTCGGCCATGTGGGAGTCCAGTGCCTTAACCACCATGCCACCTGCCAGCCCGCATTTATAGATAAAACAAACAAACAAACAAACAAACCCTCAATTGCCTGACCTAACAACGAAATCTTCCTAAGTGCCTTGTACCCTCTAAATATAACTAATTAAACACATAATTAAAGGGATTGAGGTTCTTTTAAACATCTTGACATTGTCTAGCAAGTTAATAAGATGCCCATAGCATTCAACAGAAATCCACAAGTTGCAAATGGCTAGCTAATCTTCTGTCTGGAATTGTATTCATAAAGCTGACCTGTGCCTCTAATGTGTTAAACTCTCTCAAAGCCCTACATTCACTTCCTGTGGCTGCTGCCACAAAGTGTCCCAAACTCAGTGACTTGAAACAGCACTTACTATCTTCCAGTTCTAGAGGTCAGAAGTCTGAAATGGAAGCCATGGGGCTAAGATCAAGGTGTTGGTGGACTTCTTCCTTCTGGGGGCTGTAGGGGAGAAGCCATTGCACAAGCTTTGGGGCCTCCTGCAGCCCCTGACTATGGCCCTTCCTTCCTCCTCAGATTGCTTTGCTCCAAACTTCGCTTCCAGCACCACTGCTCTGATTCTGACCCTCCCGCTTCCCGATTTCACCTGGAAGGATCTCTGTGGGCACACCCAGCAGCTGTTGACATCTCAGCCGTCAAAATCGAGCCATGGAACCAGGCCTAACTGCAGGGGAAGCCAGAGAGCGGAGGAAAAGGGGGCAGTGAATGTGGGAGGACACCGGCAATTCTGCCACAGAGAGCAGCCAGTTGGAGGTATCCGGCAACTCCCAACAGAGAGTCCCCGTAGACAACTGTGTCAGGTCATTGCAGAAAGATGTCCTTCCCTTCTACCAGCTGTGCGTGGTCAGCGATGCCTGGGCTGCTCAGTCAGGACCAAGGTGGCAGAACTGGCCCACTCAGAGCCCATGGCCTGAACCTGAGTGTCTAAAGCAATGAGGTGTGCACGAGGACCCTGCTGTCATGAGGTGGACCCTGCTGTCATGAGGTGGCCCCTGTTCTCAGGAGGTGGCCCCTGCTCTTGGGAGGTGGATACCGACTTGGAAGGTACCACAAGCTTCAGTGATTTACTGTCACTTGCTCAAGCAGATCCCATGTTGG